TAATGATTTTTGGCATAAAAGAAAAATCAAATCAATTCTAAAAAAAAAAGTAAACAAATATACACAAAACTGTATTTTAATTTAATTTATTCCATGGTCTGTCTGAATACTGGATTCTGGAATACATTACCACATGATCCCTCAGAAATCATTCTAATGTGCGGATTTGCTGCTTAAGAAACTGTTCTTGTCAATGTTGAAAACAGTTGTGCTGCTTTATATTTTTTGTGTAAACTGTATATACTGTGTACATATACATTACTGTGCAAAAGTCTTCACCCAAAAAAAAAAGTTTTAAACCAGTTATTTCTATCTGTCTACTTCTAAGACACTTGAAGAAACTTTCATGCGAAGCTACCTGAAGAACTATGTGCAAGTGTACCTTGGAAAAAAAGCGTAAATGCAAAGGGTAGTCACAGCAAATGTTGATTTGATTTAGTTAATAGAAGTGAATTGATAAATAAAATCTATTTATAACATAGTTTTTGAAAACATCCTCACTTAAAACTTTTCACAGTACTGTAGCTTTGCAGTAAGTTTTCTTCAGGTGTCTTGGAGACGTTGCCACAGTTCTTCTAGATTTAGTCTGTCTCTGTTTTTTTCTGATTCTTCATGTCATTCCAGACAGACTGCATGACGGTGAGATCTCGTCAGACTCCTTGTGCATACAAAAATCTCCCTGGATTATTACAGTTAATGGCAAAATTAATGTTTGGAAATGCTGACACACTGCAGCAAAAGATAGAAATTGCACAGAACTGTATAGAATAGTTTTTGTCATGTCATTTGCAAGCAGATCATTACAGTTGAGAACCTTCTTGTCGGTTCTGCCTTTTCTCTCGACAGATTTTTATCAAGAAAGCGGAGTGACTGGTGTTCAACAACACCTCGTGACTTCACCGGGTCTCTGGTGCAGGATGGAGTTTGCTCAGCACCTCCACATGAGCTCTTCACACGAGTTTCTTTAGCGCCAACTGCTGGCTAAGAGCTGTTCTGGCAGGGTAGAGGACGCCAGGCGAGCGCTCCCTCAAGGACATACAGCTGGAGCTGTCAGATGTGCCCAGTAGCTGGCAGACGACTGATGATGCTGTATTTTGTAAACTGTATTTATATGTATATATGCCCATGGTTGAGTTTCTGTAATTACACTGGTCTGTTGTCAAGGGCTTCCTGAGCGGTCTCTCGCCCGTTTCACGATGCACTTTGACATTCAACAAATGCTGCTTTTGGAACGGAAGACTCTTTTTAATTTCCTACTCGAGATTCGATTTTCAAAGTTCAGTTTGTGTTGTTAATTAGTTGACAAATGATTCTGTTTAGGCTACTCCAAATGGTGTGTATTTATTGTATTTATTATGATACATTAAGAGTACACACAGTCATATGGCCGTGCTAGATATGTGTTGGTTCGTGCACAGGCCTAGCGTGTGTTTCCAAAGTCAGTCCAAAAGATGCGTTATAATGAAAGAGTAACGTTTATTGTAACTAGAGTATGCTGCAAAACTGTTTCTTCTAAAAACTGAAATCGCTGGACTTTTCTTGATATCATTAAAATGAAATCAATCACGATAAACAAGGAAGGGAAATTCACCTTCTGAATTTTTTTTTACATTTTTTTATTAGCATTTTTTGCTTTCCAGTAACACATATTATTTCTTGCTATGTTGTTTTTCCTCTTCCTGCCTTAACGTGACACAGTAGCGTGCTGACGTGGCCGCATTTTACAATAGAGCCAGTAGAGTGAACAGAATCAGATCATAGACCAAAAACCTGCCAGAGACATGTACAACTGTGGCTTGAAATCTGTATAGCTCGGTGTGAAGCAGTGCACTGGTATTTAGATGCTCGGTTTGCTCTCTGATGATAGAAATAATTCATATTTATCAGATGTTACACAAATTTGTCAAGGGTTCTAATATTTTTTTCATGCCTTAAAATGATTCACCAATGATTTCGGTATCATAATACAACACTGATGGTTATAGCTAAACTGAGCGATCAGCATATTTGACAAGATCTTAAACTAGAGCCAAGTAATCTTCAAAGAAAGAAAAAGAGAAGGGTTGTGCAGTAAGATAACACCATCTGGCCTACAACAACGCTGATGTTGTTTTAGAGGAGAGTCACTTCCCCCGCACAGGTCGAGGAGAAATACAGCGCCATCAACTTTCACTATCCCTTCATTGTTTTCTCTTGATTAGCCCAAATGAACTCGAATGAAAATGTAATGCTCCTGTCAAACAGTTTGAATAAAGACAAAGTCCAAACTTGACTTGTTTATATATTGTTATGCAGACGTGGTTGCAAAGTATTGTTTTTATACTATCTTCAAAGTTGTGAGCATGATTATAAATCCAAAAATCAAAAGATATATAATTCCACTATGTTCCACTTTTCTGGCAGCTTTGTATTTCTAAGAATATATGTGACCCTGGACCACAAAAGCAGTCTTAAAGGGATAGTTCACCCAAAAATGAAAATTTGATGTTTATCTGCTTACCCCCAGGGCATCCAAGATGTAGGTGACTTTGTTTCTTCAGTAGAACACATTTGATGATTTTTAACTCCAACCGTTGCAGTCTATCAGTCGTATAATGCATGGCAATGGTAACAAAATCTATGAGAGTAAAAAAAACATGCACAGACAAATCCAAATTAAACCCTGCGGCTCGTGACGACACATTGATGTCCTAAGACACGAAACGATCGGTTTGTGCCAGAAACCGAACAGTATTTATATCATGTTTTACCTCTAATACACCACTCTGTCCAACTGTCTTTGGGCGCGCGCACGGCATCCGGTGCGTGAGGTGTGTACGCGCTCTGGCGTAGTTTACGTTAATGGGTGTGTTGATATCCAGCCGAAGAGCAATCAACCATAACTTCAGGCGAGCAGGCTCAGAAGTTGGGAATACGTGGAAAGTCACCACTCCCGAATGAGTTCGCGCGAGAGAAAGTAATCTTTTAGTTGCAAGTCAGTTTGAACAATCCGGATAAGCGCAAGTAAGTACCATTTTGATTAGCCGTCGTACCTACAATGTTTGTGCACTGTGTAAACAATGAGTGACGTATATGTGCAAGAGATCACTTCCGGCGCTTGCGTAAACTACGCCAGAGCGCGTACACACCTCACGCACCGGATGCCGTGCGCGCGCCCAAAGACAGTTGGACATAGTGTATTAGAGGTAAAAAATTATATAAATACTCACACAAAGCGATCGATTCGTGTCTTAGGACATCAATGTGTCGTCACGAGCTGCAGGGTTTAATCTGGATTTGTCTGTGCATGTTTTTTTTTACTCTCATAGATTTTGTTACCATTGCCATGCATTATACGACTGATAGACTGCAACGGCTGGAGTTAAAAATCATCAAATATGTTCAACTGAAGAAACAAAGTCACATACATCTTGGATGCCCTGGGGCTAAGCAGATAAACATCAAATTTTAATTTTTGGGTGAACTATCCTTTTAAGTCGCTGGGGGATATTTGTAGAAATAGCCAAAAAAACATTGTATGGGTCAAAATGATTGATTTTTCTTTTATGCCAAAAATCATTAGGATATTAAGTAAAGATCATGTTCCATGAAGATATTTTGTACATTTCCTACCGTAAATATACCAAAACTTAATTTTTGATTAGTAATATGCATTGCTAAGAACTTCATTTGGACAACTTTAAAGGTGATTTTCTCAATATATTGATTTTTTTTTTTTGCACCCTCAGATTCCAGATTTTCAAATAGCTGTATCTCGGCCAAATATTGTCCGATCCTAACAAACCATACATTGATGGAAAGCTTATTTATTTAGCTTTCAGATGACGTACACATCTCAATTTCGAAAAATTGACCCTTATGACTGGTTTTGTGGTCCAGGGTCACATATATATTTATAACAAGTGCCTTTGACTTTACCCACCCAATTTCTCATGACAATTTTTGCCATGTTTTTATAAAATTCAGTTCTATCCAGTGAATAAATACGTCAATCTTCAGCATTATTTATGAGGTCATGAAGACCCCTTGGGGGTGTCTTTATAAGCCAGTTTTATAGTAAGAAGGTTAACGAGTCAACCAGTCCTTGTCAGTTAATGTAAATGAGATGATGCACATCTGAAAAACAAACAAGATCAGAGACTTCTAGGGTGTGCCCTAATCACTAAATCCTGGAATTTAGTTTCACTCGCATGACAATAACCAGCAATAAAGAATCTAGTCACAAATTCACACAATAAAGGATGTGAAACTTACATTTCAATTAAATGGGCAAATCAGCTTGAAGGAGAACAGATGGAAACATACGGTGTGTGCTGCCACACAAGCACCCTTAAAGGGATGAAGTTTCTACATCATTTACTCACTGTATGACACCAAAACTCTTTGATTACCAATATTCTTCTGAATTTTCATTTTTGGGTGAACCGTGGCTTTAACAAACGAAGAAAACATTGTTTGCCTTTGAGGTTAATGCTAGGGTAATGTCTGTTATTATACGTTATATAGTATATATGTGTAGCCTACTACAACATTACCTTGTGTCACAATTCATAATGCTTCTAAATTTAACCAAATGTGTCGTTATGTTTGTTTTTATGGTGATTTTGTACTAAACCTAAGGTAGCTTGTTATTAGACACCACCAAAACAGTATTATTCTACAAATCTAATGCTATTATTTTCAAACATTTAGACGGAAGCCTGCATGACAACAATTTTCGTCAAATTTTAAAATGACTCAAATAAATTTGGCATGTGGACAAATTGTTGCTACATAAAAAGCTATTTGACCGTTTCCCAAGTATCCTTCTTCTTTCACTTCCACTGTGATGTGTCCAATAAGCGTCTTTTTCCCTGTCCTCGACGGCCAATCAGCGGTGTCCACGAGGTGCAGGTCGGAGGCGGAGACCTCAGTCCATGACAGACGTCAAATCTGCCCAATCACCATCTCGCAACGTCTAAGAGGCGTGTCTACGCCGAGTACAGTAGCCAATCGGATGCGCGTGGAAGGCGGAGCCTCTGTTTCTGGATTCTTCGTCCACAGCCACACGTGACGCGCTGGAGTCGCTGGATCAGTGAGCACGGGTGAGTACACTAAACCTGCAAATATCAGCTTTACTACACCTGTGTGCCTTGCAGTTCATGTGCAGTATTTTTTGCCGATGTGTTATTGTAAGAGAGCAGGATTATATGGTTCAGCTCGAGTGTTAAACTGAGAATATGTGCGTAGTTGGTCAGTTAGCTGCTTGTGCTAAGCTAACTGATACAGGTGTCATGTCAATAAAATCAGCCGTGTAATCAAAACTCATCACAGAAACCTGCTTCACCTTATCGATCGTGGGGTTTTCTTGTCGACGGGTTGAGGTGAAACCTGAAGTGCGGTTCGTGTGGTCTTATCTAATGTCGAGCTGCTGAGAGATTTGCCAATTAATTCATTAATGAATGAAGTTAGTCAAACGTGCGGCGACTGATTTACTTTGACCGCTGCACATTAAAATGATTATATACACACACGTAAGGTTTAATAAATTTTTCATGAGCGTTATTCACCAATATACATCTGTGGGCTTCATCAGCGGCTGCTGTGGCGGCTCCAATGGATCAGTCGTATTTAATCAGCAGAGCAGATCTCTGCTCAAACTGGATTTGAAGCAGCTCACTGTCCGTTAGCACTGCAGTGTTGAATGCCTTCCTCTTTCAGTCCCAGTTGTTTGTTTTATAGGGGGCAGGATGGAGTCAGCACTAATGAATCTGCTGTGTTCAAACAGGAACCGCTAGACCCCTTCTAATGATCCTTCGTAGAAATAATCAGTCTGTTCTGTAGTGATGTCTTTCAGTCTAATTAATGGGCTGATATTGGCCGATAACTCTGTCTGCTTGGACGATTAAGAGAAGTGTTAGTTCCCACTTGTGCTTTTAATGCTTCTAAATCACTTGCACACACACTCACTCACTCACACACAATATTATTCTTTGAACTAATGTGAATTTTGAGTAAATATCGAGTGAAAATAATGGTCATTTAGTTAGTCTCAGTCCAAAAATCTGGGACCTTCAAAATTGAGGATTAAAAAAAGAAAATGAATGGCGTCAAATTAATAACAACTAATTCTAGTAGTTTCCATTTCTAGTGTCTTTTTTGAAAGAGAACTGCATTTGACATTGATCCGTTCAAATAACATGTTGGTCTGAAAGCACGCTGTTGCTAAAACAGTGTTTCAGTCTTTCAAGAAGGGAAACAGTGAGTTTTACTATTAGTATTGATTAACCTGTTTTTTCTTTTCACAACCTCACCAATAATCCTAGTGTTCCCCTGATTTGTATTTTTTTTTATCTGTGATCTTCAGCAATCGTTAGCAAGTGTTGCATGAGTCGGTGGGTCTCTGCTAAATGCTCTATTTAATTTTTCTGATGTCTTGCGTTGGTTTAGCTCAGATGCTGATTAGCTTTAATAGTGCTGATGATGGAGTGCTGGTGTTGTGTGTGTTGTCTGTAATCGCTCTACCCCCACAGATGATCATTGGTTCACTGAGCAACAGATGGGTCAGGAGTGTATCCTGTGGCCCCCAACCCCACTACAATACAAACACACACAAACACGTTGCACCCTGTGTAGCCTCAGGGATCCTCAACTCTAGTGTCCTGCTCCTAAAGATCAGCCTCAAGTGAATTTCTCTCTCAGTTCAGTGAGATTTGATAACACGTGCTCTTATATTTTTTCTGTACTCTCAATCTTTGCTTGAGTTGGTCTGACTCTGATCTCAGTGCAGTACTATGTTGATTTGTTTGTGTTTCTAGTTTAGAACTGCTCAGTAGTGGTTGATCTGGGTGATTTATGGCAGATATCTCAAGAGCAGGGTGGCAGATGTCTGATATAACACTATTAGATGGGGTACAATGCCATGTCCTCTTCACCTTTAAATGTCTTCTTGACCGTAGACGAATAAATCTAATCTAACCACATTTACTGAATGCTTATGCTGTAGCTCAGTGGTTCCCAATCCTGGTCCTGGAGAACCCCCAACACTGCACGTGTTTGGTGTCTCTCTTATCTGACGCTCACATTTGAGGTCTTGGAGTCTTCACTAATGAGCTGAAGAGTTGAATCAGGTGTGATTTGAATAGGGAGACATCTAAAATGTGCAGTGTTGGGGGTTCTCCAGGACCAGGATTGGGAACCACTGCTGTAGCTAATTAATCTTGTCTTGGTCATATTTATCTAAACATCAGTATTTGTGAAATTTATTTGATATGTTCATATATGAGCAACAGTTTTTTTTTTTTAATCTATTGTCAGTGGTTAACTGTTTGTTAATGTAGAATTATTGGACATATTAATTTAGATGGTAACAAATTGGTAAATATTGCAGTGGAAAGTAAAAGTTAGGCTTTTTTAACCACCCTGGTTCAGGTGGGTATGAGAGGCCTATATGGTCTGATTTAGGGCTGGGCAAAAAAAAAAGATTTTCGATTAACCGTGGTTTTTAATTGCGTTGATTCGATATCAATTCTCAAAAGCCGCGAATCAATTTTTTCCGGTATTGATTTCAGCAAACATTTAACACAAAATCTGTTCAACATGAATCTTATCATTAGTCTTCTCCACTAGATGTCACTCTTATTTACCTCGTGTGATGTTACAACGGAAAGCCTGTCATTCATCCAGTGCTTATCATGGCGGAGATACTGTTGACAAGAACCAAGAACAAAGCAGTATGCTTGATTTGCAATGCTCAGTAAAATGCTATAGTATTACTACATATCTGCGGAAGCATTTGACATCACACATAAGGCGCCATAACTTCCGCAATGAGTGAATGGCGGTTGACGCAGAGATGTGTTTTCAGCTTCTGCTGTCTCACTAGCCTATATGGCGACATAAAGAGTCACTTCATTAGCATTTTACCGTTTAATTTGAGAAAACTACCATTGTATCAGATACACAGCAGCTGCAAGTTCTTCACGGCAACCCGTCAAAATAAAGGTTTGGTTTAACGTGAAGAAACTGTGACAGGAATATACTACTATTGTGCAGTCTTAAGACTCAATGTACCAACAATGCTACTATGGTTACAATGGTTTAAGTATAGTACCCATGTTTTTTTTGTAGTAAAACCATAGTTAATTTTCGTAAGGGAATAATTTTTTTTTTTTTTTTTTTAATCACAAAAATCACAATTCCATTATTATCCTCAAACCGTGTGCAGCCCAAGTTTATGTGGTTTGTTTGTGAGGTTGGTCATGTCTTGTAGTTTGTGTGTACTCCAGTGAAAGTGGTTTTGTTTTGTTTTGGCTGCCATGGTGATGTGTTGTTATCAGACGCTGTTGGCACCGCTGCTTCAGTCGCACTAATCCTGAGTGTGTTAAGCTCATTAGCACAGCAGTCTGTGGGGTACACCGTCTGCGTGTGAGTAAAACCATAGTTAATTTTCGTAAGGGAATAATTTTTTATTTTTATTTTTTAATCACAAAAATCACAATTCCATTATTATCCTCAAACCGTGTGCAGCCCAAGTTTATGTGGTTTGTTTGTGAGGTTGGTCATGTCTTGTAGTTTGTGTGTACTCCAGTGAAAGTGGTTTTGTTTTGTTTTGGCTGCCATGGTGATGTGTTGTTATCAGACGCTGTTGGCACCGCTGCTTCAGTCGCACTAATCCTGAGTGTGTTAAGCTCATTAGCACAGCAGTCTGTGGGGTACACCGTCTGCGTGTGTTCAAACATGACTGTGTTGCCCATTTAAGGTTTTTTGCAGTGTTTATTGATACCACTGAGGAATGATCTGACAGCGCTGTAAAGCTCTGCTCTTGAAGCGAATGACAGTAATCACGCGCTTACGCTGAAGAAAGCAAGCAAGGGCTTGTGGGTCTTGTAATGGAGTGAAATTGAGGTGGTCAAGTGAGTATTTATATTTGCTTCTGTTAACTCACTCCAAATGATACTTAAGTTGAAATGATGCTTATGGTGAATATAGAAGGCAAATGCTTGGTTTTATCCACCACAAAACAGGTTTGATGGTAAAATACTGGTTCTTTTAGAGGAGTGTGTGTTTGCACATGTGGATATAGGTGTTTGTGTGTAATCGCATTGGGGTAAATCTTATTAAAGAAAAGGGGCTGATGCTGCAGAACTCTGCCTTTCTGCCATCGCTGAGCGATCGGAGTCATGGGGACCCTGAGATGGCAACATGTCCACTGCCGTCTGCAGCTACAGGCCACTGTTTACATCAGCCTCTGCACCCGTCTGCCAGCGCTGCGCAGTAGTGTTGGGTGATATGTTCAGTTGTCATATCGTTCTATCGTCACCCTGTGAGATCGCCGATACATAGGGCTGGGTATTGAGTTTGATACGTTTAAGGCACCGACCGAATTGCCTCGATACCATCGAGTATCGAAAAACGTCTCGTCGTTCGGTACCAAATTTCGATACCTAAGGGGTTAATCTCATTAGCGTCAGTGAGCCAATAAGCCTGCAGCACTAGCCGGTGTGTTCGACTAGAAGAGGTGTGGCCCAGATCAATCAGTGTTTGACATCCGCGAGAGCGATTCGAAAGCACACGGAGCAATCTGCTCTCTTTAGCTCTCGTGGTACTGTAATACACCGATCGGTCTGCACAGTCGGTCCGCGTCAAGTCGAATACACCTACTAGTTAACACCGGTTACACTCAGAGATGTGGCGCACACGTGAGGATTTAGTGTGAATGCGCCCAGCCCCCTTAGATGTAAGGCTACATTTACACTGGTGCGTTTGTTTTTAAATTAAAACTTTCCTCGTCATACTGGCGTTTCCACTGCGTTTCAAGCCGGCTTTCCACTATCTCCGACAAACGACAGACATTCATTTCCAATGGAGAGTAGCGCGGGAGCTGTGTGGAGTTCAGATCATATGCAGATGTCTGTTCATACTAACGTTACACGACCGAAAGCGCGTGTTATGTGACCATTCATGCAAACTGTACCATCATGATGCATGACAATAAATAAGATTTATATTCCGCTTTTACTCAAAACTAATTTTAAACCACCATCGAGTGTTTGTAATAACTTACAATTGCCGTCTAACAGGGCCGGATTTACACACAGGCATTCTAGGCACGTGCCTATGTTCGCTCGTCCAGGGGGGCCCAAACACAATGAAGAGAGAGATAATATTTTTGTTATACTTTGGGCTATCTACAACAGTAAGAGAACCAAAACCCCTGAAGACATTGAGCAAATAAATATAACAAACAATAGGGTAAAAAATGACAAAATATTTCCATGTCTTCCACCTTTTTTATGTAGGCTACGGAAATCAGGCTTTCTTTCTCCCAGTCTCACGCGCACACAGTGCAGACACGCACTCGCGCACACACACGGAGACGTGAACAGAAACTTCTTGTCAGCGCTGCACCGCGAATTTATCAGTAAAATAGTTTCGCAGCTGAAAAGCTACATGCCATTTCTCAGTAGCGAGGTTCATGAAGGAGTTTAACTTAAAGGTTCGCTATTAATAGACTCTGCTGCTGAGAGATGCATAGAGGCAGGTATTCACACGTGCTTAATCTCTCTCTGCAGTACTAAAAATCACTTGCAGTAGCTCTGCTACTAAATTTATTTTAAAATGTCTATCCCTGTACAGCTATCATCAGCTGTTCCTTCATCTTGGCTGAGCTTTCAATGTTGTTACGGGAAAGCATGAAGCTGATTGGTTGGTTCTTGTCACATGACCCGCGGTGTGCTTGCGGCATTCTGAAAAGTTGAAATGTTTTTATCACGATGCGGCGTGGACACGCCGCGCCTATATGGAACGGTCTTTCTCAGTTCTCAAACAAATTAAGAACTACATTCGGTTTTTATTGACTGAACGCAAGCGCTTATTGCGATAAACTCTGTAACTGTTTCCACTGATTAAGAAATATTTTTGTTTGCTTGGGTGGTAATATTAGATCTATTATATTAATAGGAAAGGGGGCCCAAAAATTAGTTTTTCCTATGTCAAGTCACCTTTATTTATATAGCGCTTTTAACAATACAGATTATGTCAAAGCAACTGTACAGCATTAATTAGGAAAATAGTGTGTCAATAATGCAAAATGATAATTTTTCAGTTAAAGACAGTTCATCATTGAATTCAGTGATGTCATCATCCAGCTCAGTTCAGATTAAATAGTGTCTGTGCAATCAAGTCGACGATATCGCTGGAAATGAAGTGTCCCCAACTAAGCAAGCCAGAGGCGACAGCGGCAAGGAACCAAAACTCCATCGGTGACAGAATGGAGAAAAAACCTTGGGAGAAACCAGGCTCAGTCGGGGGGCCAGTTCTCCTCTGGCCAGACGGAATAAGAGAGAAACAGACTAATATTAGCGTAGATGCCATTCTTCTAACAATGTAGCAAGTACATCGGCTGTTATGAGAAGTGTTCCCGGTTCCAGTTGACCTAATTAATGCAGCCTAAAAATCCTTTAACGGATTTGAATATTAGAAGCGTATTAGTGTACCACCTGCAAACTCACAAGGAGCTCATAAAAGGCACTTTACCTGATATTTATTTGCTGCCTTCACGGCTATAATGCTTCTCCGACGAGCCGCTGCTTCTTCGGCTTTTGCCGTGGTACTGCGGGTTACACCAGCAACATGCCCGTGGACACTGCAGACTAGCGGTTTGCATGTGTACTGCACGTTGACGCGGACAACGACGCAGAAGTATAAATGAAAACTGACGCGTAGCCTACGGCGTATATGGCGTAGGTCTGACACAGAAGTATAAGTCAGCCTTTAAGGACAACGTCCAGTCATTGACCCCTAACACACACAGATAAACATATGATGAACTGTTTCATTTGTTCAATCTAATAGTAGTGACGGTGTCTAGTGTAGATGTTACACCAGCATGATCATACTGAGATGTTACACTGGAAGAGCTGCGAGAATGTTTTCTGTTTAAGTAGGTCTTGATGAAAATATTGGACGGTTTTCCAGAAAATTGTTTGTTTGTTTGAGGATGTGTAAAACTACACATTTTCAGACTTCTACTAGTTGATATATTGTCTCAAAAACTATCGATCTTAAAGAAAACTTCATGTTTTAAAGGCATAATTTACCCAAAAATGAAAATTGTCAACATTTACTCACCCTCCTGTCGTTCAAATTTCTTTCTTCTGTTGAACACAAAAGAAGTGGCGTAGGTCTGACACAGAAGTATAAGTCAGCCTTTAAGGACAACGTCCAGTCATTGACCCCTAACACACACAGATAAACATACGATGAACTGTTTCATTTGTTCAATCTAATAGTAGTGACGGTGTCTAGTGTAGATGTTACACCAGCATGATCATACTGAGATGTTACACTGGAAGAGCTGCGAGAATGTTTTCTGTTTAAGTAGGTCTTGATGAAAATATTGGACGGTTTTCCAGAAAATTGTTTGTTTGTTTGAGGATGTGTAAAACTACACATTTTCAGACTTCTACTAGTTGATATATTGTCTCAAAAACTATCGATCTTAAAGAAAACTTCATGTTTTAAAGGCATAATTTACCCAAAAATGAAAATTGTCAACATTTACTCACCCTCCCGTCGTTCAAATTTCTTTCTTCTGTTGAACACAAAAGAAGATATTTTGAAGAATGTGGATAACCAAACAGTTGTTGGTCCCATTGACTTCCACAGTGTATGCCCATACTATGAAAGTCAGCTGGACCATCAATTGTTGAGTGTGAGTTAATGATGACAGAGTTTATTTTTGCGTGAACTATCCCTTTAAGAAAACTCACAGCCAACATCATAAACCAACTAATCAGAGTCCTGACCCATGTCTAATTCATCCCCGCTTGTGTCTGTAGACTATGGAGCTGAAGATGCGGTTATGTGTGGCGCTGCTCTCTCTGAGTCTGTGTCTGGGCCTCATGGGTCATGTGAGGGCACAGGAGGAGGCCGATGACATGGAGATGAACGTGGAAGATGCCATCGATGACATGCAAGAGGAAGATGTTGAGGAAGAGGAACAGCAAGCCCCCACTTCCCCGCCAGTGCCCACGGTAAGAGCGTTACCTGCTCAGACTGCGGCTGACTGAGAAATGTGGTTTACCTAGACAGCACTCCAGGATCCTTCTGCTTAAACGTGTAGCTCTCTGTTCATTCTGCTGAATTGTCACTTGTGTGTTGATCAGGGGCAGAGGTTGGTGGTGACCTAAAACAGCTCATTATGCCTCAGTGCCATACATTCAGCTCAAAATAGCCTCCACATCAGTGACCCTTGACTTACATTTCTCGAGAACAATGAGACTTTGATGCTTGTTGGGAAGTTATCATTGATATTTAGCCAAAGCAGTGGTGGTCTGTGTTTGTTTGAGGTATTTGATCAGCCAATGATTAATCATGTCACTTAAAGGGCCAGTTCACATAAAAATTTAATTCCGTCCAGATTTACTCTCTCTCATATCATTCCAAACCCATATGACTCTATTTCTTCCCTGTAACATAAGCCTAAATGTTGTTAAATATAAAACAGTATTATGCAGGTGCAACTAGGTTAACATCTTCCCCAAACGTCTTTATTGAAGGTGACATATAAAGCTCCAGAGCCGATGGGAGAGCACTACTTTGCCGAGTCATTTGATAAAGAAACACTTCATGGGTAAGATGTCTGTTATCCTCACAACAGAGAGAGCATATATTGAAAATGTCTGTCGCAAATACAATGATGTCTGTTCAATTTTTAAAGGTGTTTTTGAGTCTCTTACAATCTTTAAAAAAAAATTCAGTAAAAACAGTGGCATTGTGAAATTTTATTACAATAAATACATTTTTTGTTTAAATATATTTTAAAATGTCATTTATTCCTGTGATCAAAGCTGAATTTTCAGCATCATTACTTAAGTCTTCAGTGTCACCTGATCATTCAGAAATCAAACTTTTGAACAGTAGTGTGTATCATTTGAAGATATTTGTCATAAATGTTTTTTTTTGTTTCCTGTCTAGATGGGTTTTATCCCAGGCCAAGAAAGATGGCATCGATGAGGAAATTGCAAAGTATGATGGTAAGTTTTATATGCTATTTCATTTTCTGCTCATCTGAAGTCTGTTATGTCTAATTATTCATTTGAGTAGTCAGAAAAGGTGTGGATACCTGAATGATTTGTTTAGCATAAAAACAATTAAGAAGACCTAAAATCACAGAACAATGTTCCAGACTATGGTATGTGTTGTTTCTGACTTTTTAAAGATGTTTTTATTTAAATAGTTTGAACTTTGTTTGAATTACCCCAAAAACTCGAAACTTGAGGACATTTTATATAAAAGTAGTTTGCAGACAACACATGAACTGAGCGTGTGTGTGGTGATCTTGAGGTAGTGGTGTGATGTTTTGTGTGTAGGTAAATGGGAGGTTGAGGAGATGAAGGACACTAAACTCCCGGGTGATAAAGGGCTGGTGTTGAAATCTAAAGCTAAGCATCACGCCATATCTGCTCTCCTACTGCGACCTTTCACCTTTGACACCAAACCTCTCATCGTCCAGTGAGTATACATGTCTGCTCTTGGTATGCATTTTACTCTGGCCTGTCCAGATGACAATATTGTAGTTAAACTTTTATGAAATGGGAGTTGGAAATTGCCAGCGATCTCATGTCAAAGTACTTATTTTGACGTATTTGCTTTGTGTTTTCAAGTATTATAGTACATTGACATTGCCTGAAAATAACATTTTTAATGTAAAGCTCAACTCAAGACGATAATGAAACCATGCACTCAAATAATCCAAATGCACCAATGTCAAAGCCTTGAAATATAAAAATAATACTAATGCTGTGCCATGTTTCCTCAGGTATGAGGTGAACTTCCAGACTGGCATTGACTGTGGCGGCGCTTATGTTAAACTGCTGTCTCAAACCCCTGATCTTGACTTGGTAAGATGGTCTATGTATTCATTGTGCAGTTGATAGGATAAGTTTCTGTTATACCTGCCCTGAAAATTTTTAAATTTGGAAACTAACCTAGACTGTCAGTTTGCTATAATGTGAAGAAGTGACTTCTGGCCATGTTTCTTGTTGTAAAGTGTTACCAGTTATTCATGTAATCTGTGTGATGTGGTACAATGCTGGGAAGTTTTGGTGTGCATTTGTACTACACATCCCAGAATGATCACAGTAAATGAGTGTTACTCTGCAGTCCAGGGCGCATTTAGGACGGATCCATTAGACATGTGATTAGGGGTGTGCGATATTGACAAAAAATAATAACTCAATATTTTCTGGTATTTTATCGATAACGATAATTAAATGATATTTTGCTGAGTGTGTTATTGTGCTGATATCTTAAGGACTACTGTGGACAGCTGACTCCTAAAGTTTTTGATATTCTTCATATTCTGTGGTGGTCAGTTCACACTGATAGAAATTAATCTTTTCTAATAAGTTTAAATTGAGTTGTACCTTTTATGGGTATCTTTACCTTTTATAAAGCCATTTTTCTAAAAGTGTGCATTATCTTTTAAGTCAAATTCCTACATTTATCTCCAATTTAAAAAAAAATTATTCTTACATTTAATCAGTGAATTAGAATAAAACATCTGCACTGTTACCAAGCAAATGAAATCGGTATCAATAAAATTAATCTTTGCAATGCAGAGGATACACATTTAGATGTATTTGCCCATTACTTTTTAGTGCAGAACAATGACTGCATTTTAACCTGCAATTACAAATGCATAATGTTTTGATATATTTATCATAAAAGTTGAATACTGTTATATGAAATTATCTAAATGATAAAAATAAACTTTTTAAATGTGAAATTAAAACCGCCAGTAGGTGGCAGCAAGTCACTGTTAAAAAGTGAGTCATTGTGATTGAACCGAATCATTTAAACGGCTGATTCATTCAGGAACGAAACACCATGTCATGTTCCTCAGAGACGCAAAACAGCGCTGTGACTGTGTTTGGAATTATTGTTGTTGTCAAAATAGAGCAAAAACTGGCAATATGGTGTCTAAAACGTAAGTCTCTTAATTAATTAACTTCTTGTTTTTTGAACTCTTGTAAAAAATCAATATTACATTTGTAATCATGGTAATTTTTTTTGGGGGGGGGGGGAAACAGCACTGTTTGTGTGATGTTGATTAACTATATGAAATGATATAAATGTATACATTTTCTGTCCCCATATCTTTGGGGATTTTGTGATTATTCTAAATGCATTTTATTAGACTGAATCATGCAGTGAAAAGAACACACTCTAAATGCCCACTTGTCTAGACTTCACGTAATGAATGTGTGCTCTCTGTTTTGAATGGTTTTTGCAAAAATAATAATCGCACACCCTTACATGTGATGTGGTCACATGCATTTCTGACTACCACCATGTATGGGCTCAGTGATCCAATCACAAAACATTTTGGACCGTTTTACGCCTGTATTTAATTAGTGCTGACCTGTTCTGATATATCTAGAATCAGGGTGACCGATACAATGCCTGTATGGCTGTGTATTTATTTATATAGTTTATTGATAGCATATGAGCTGGACACAAAACTTAATGCGTAAGAATTGATTGTGTCCTCACCTCCCTCTTCCCTGTCTGTCCTTACAGGAGGAGTTTGTGGATAAGACGCCGTATACCATCATGTATGGGCCTGATAAGTGTGGTGAGGATTACAAACTGCACTTCATCTTTAGACACAAGAACCCAAAAACCGGCGAGTTTGAGGAGAAGCATGCTAAGAAGCCTGACGCTGACCTCCGCTCATACTACACCGACAAGAAGACTCACCTCTACACACTGGGTAACAACACACATCTCGTCCTGCTTCCAAAAGCGCCACCTACTGTCAGAGAGTAAATTTACATGTTTGTTTAGCCTGTCTGCTGTTTTTTGCATCAATCTGGACAGACCAATCACAAATGAAAGTTGGACAGAATTTCTCATGTGTGTCAATGTGTTTTCCTGCAGTGCTGAACCCGGATAACAGTTTTGAGATCTTGATCGACCAGGCGGTGGTGAACAGCGGCAGTCTCTTGAATGATATGACTCCCCCCATCAACCCCCCGGCCGAGATCGAGGACCCCGATGACCACAAACCAGAGGACTGGGATGAGAGACCCAAGATCCAGGATCCAGATGCTGTCAAACCTGAGGACTGGTGAGGCGGAGAGAGTCTTTTGCCTTGTCCAAATACCCACTCTTGATCACTTGACTACTTATATGACGTATTTCCTGTATTTGGCTCAAGTGTGGATGAGGACCACTAGTGTGTAGAACTTTTCATTACCTGATGGGACACACTTAGTGTTTACATAGCTTTATTTATTTTTTAAATACTTAGCATTTTAAAATCAACTTCTGAATGCTTGTCCCTATAACATGACGCAATTTAATTTGTGGTGCTTCTAATTAAGTGATAAAAAGCAGTAGCAAATGTTGTACAAAATAAATATCACCACTAACCATCTTTGCACCAATAAAAAGTGCAACACTTTGTTTTTCTACTAAATGATATTACACTCACTTCCTGTCGTGCGCTCTCAAGTAGCCAAGACAGCAAGTGTGGGTATTTTGGACAGTGAATATCTTATGTGTGTTACACTGGGGATCAAAGGCATCACGGGGTCCACATGTAGTGCACATTTCATATGCAAAGATTTTAGCCAATCATAACAGTGGGCGTTTACTTTGAAGTCTCACTTCAAATCAGAGGGCTAAAATTAAGTTCGCCATTATATCTATTAAGCCATTTATATCTATTATTACTGTTTTTGCTGGAAAATACTATACTAAGATTATAAGTGCACATAATTTAAAAATGCACTTTATCTCATTAAAGTGGTGATGATGATTAATAAATGTTATCATCCTCTGGTGTAAAGGCTAATATAATTATCGTTGTATTTATTATTCTTGGTGTGAATGGGCCTTTGCATGCGAGCAGCTCATTATCCGCTGGTCTCTGCAGTGTCTCAGAGCAGCTTGGGTTGCAGTTAATTCTGTTTATTAACATTATATAATGAAAAATGTATTATTGTATTTTTCTTAAATGCTCTCTTATAGTTAAATATTACAATAGTAATATATCTTATCATTTTTATTTGTATTGGGTAATAATACTAATATATTATATAATATTATTTTATAGTCATGTTGATACGTAATCACGAACATTTTGCAAATTGTGCAGCCCTGCAGACAAGCACAGCAAACCTGGATTTTTTAAATCGCATTTTATCACTTTTAAATATCAGTTTTTATCAAGAAAACCAATTTTCCCCAAAGTTGTGCATCCCTATTATTAAAGGTGGTTTCAGAGTCCGTGAGCTTTATAGATAGGGCTGTTAAAAATTTTTTTAATTTCGAATATTCGTCGAATTTAAAATAAAAATCCACATTCGAATTTTAGGTGTGCGTTAAATCAGTGGCGCACGAGATGCGATGCAGACAAGCACAGCAAACCTGGATTTTTTTAATCGCATTTTATCACTTTTAAATATCAGTTTTTATCAAGAAAACCAATTTTCCCCAAAGTTGTGCATCCCTATTATTAAAGGTGGTTTCAGAGTCCGTGAGCTTTATAGATAGGGCTGTTAAAAAAAATTAAATTTCGAATATTCGTCGAATTTAAAATAAAAATCCACATTCGAATTTTAGGTGTGCGTTAAATCAGTGGCGCACGAGATGCGATGATGATGTAAGTGTCGTTGCATTGTAATGTTTTTGTTAGTCTATCCAGTTGAAGCCACTGCTGCGTTGTTCATTAAAAATATTGCAGAAAAAGAGAACATCAATGCGGAGAAGATCTTGTTTATGTCAAAACTGAAACCAAGATGTTCACACAGAACACATATTTCGCGCACTTTCTAGAGGGACATCTATCACCATTGCACTCGCGTCTCGCACAATAGAGCCACATGTTTAGAAAGTCATGTAAAATGCATGCAAGTTCAACTTTGAAAAAAAACATATCTCTAGACTTTTTTCCCCATCCCACTGCATCTCATGCTTTTAAATTAAAGAGTACTCTGTGTGATTGTCTTTCGGCGCTTTGTATTAAACTATGCTTAGATGCATGATACTGTTTTGTTTATAGTTGTTTAAGCAACTTGATTATAATTGGTTTATAAACATTATTTTAAACATTATGCACTTGTTTCACAGATAGTCATGTTAGCTTATGCTTTGAATAAACGTGCATTAGTAATATTTTGCTCAATGCGCCCTCTTGTGGCCTCAGGAGAGAAGCCAAAAGCTTTTCTTCACCCTAACTGAAATTATGCATTTTAAATTCGAATATAATTTTGATCATATTTAAGTACGAAATTCGAATTTAGTTTTTTAGCCATTTTGACAGCCCTAGAGCTTTGAGTATTGATTTAAATAAAGCCCCAACTCTGAGTACTGAGCCTGGTGTTTTCTACTGGAAATGTAAACGTCTAATTGTTTATTTGCCAGGGAGTGTGGAAGCCCAGGAAGATCCCTAACCCAGACTTCTTTGAGGACCTGCACCCGTTCCGTATGACTCCAATCAGCGCCGTCGGTCTGGAGCTCTGGTCCATGTCTTCTGATATCTTCTTTGACAACTTCTTCATTACCTCTGATCGTAATGTGGCAGAGCGATGGGCGGCTGATGGCTGGGGTCTGAAGAAAGCAGCTGAGGGAGCCGCAGAGGTGTGAAAAGATGAAACTGTGACACGTCTTCACACAGAGACACACAGACTTCATAATTTTTTTTTGCGCTTTAATATTCACAAGACACTAGACCGTAATGCAATTTGATTAATTGTACAGCCCTACTTTTGGTTTATTCATTAAACATTTGCCAAATTCCATGACATTCTGTGTTTTGCAGAAAATTTCATTTTTATTACTGCATTCCGCGATTCCATCTGTTTTTCCCGTTGAAGAAATCATAGAGCCCTACAGGATGTATCGCGTATATATAGCAGGGCTCGGTTTGGTTTCTCTTGTGTGGGGTCTCTCTCTGAGGCAGGTTTTGGATCCCAGGGGAATGTCTCTGGTTCTGTCGGTGTGCTGGGAGGCACTGCTGAGCGCCGTGCACTCTGGGATTAGCTGTTTTTTGGTGGGCTTTCATGAGAATTCCTACTGTGCAAATGCCTTTTGCCCCAAAGGTGGATTCCAGGCATGCCTTGCATGTTAAACTCGAGGGCCAGCTCTGTCCCTGGCTAAAGGACCTAGCAGAAGCCTGTGGGTTTTTGTCTAAATGGATTCATGCTTTGATGTTGCTGTGACAAAGTCATGATGGCTGATTAAACCGACCACAATCAAAGACAGTCAGTCAGGACAGAAGCCTGTGCCTCAGTGTGACTTTGGCTGAACTCTTTACCACATGGCCAAAGGATGCGTACTTGGTTTGAAGTGTTTACAGCGCAACCCTCAATGGTTAACTTAAAGGAGGGATAGTTCACCCAATGATGGTGTCGTCATTTACTCACCCTCATCTCATTCCAGACCCATAAGACTTTAGTTCACGTTCACGAAAGATTTAATTTGGCTTTTATTCGCATATAAACATTGATCAGTGCACACATATAAAGCATATCAAATATTATAAATGGAAGCCGAAACGTTTGGGTAATATGATTTCCTGATTTCTACTTTTATTAATAGTGGCAAAAAATAAATCTTATGGTATGTGCACAACAAAAGCGATGCAATTATTAGCATCGTGCTAATCGCTCTAGATTACTCGCAGGATGTTTTTCACATCACTTGTGCGAATAAAAAACATTGCGCGATGAGAAGTGTCTTAATGCTCATCAACAACAACATCAACAACATGTCAAACTGGGCATGTCAATGAGCTCTTCGCTGATTGGCTTGGTGTTCGCACCGAATTCGCATCATTTGTGTTGCCCGGTCCGAATTCACGTCTGTTCAGAACTTTGCATTACCCGGGTTTCCATCCAAAGTTGCAAATTTAACTTTTTTTTTTATTTAAAATTGAAATCACACAAAACATTTGCGAATAAACACCGTTTCCATCCAACGAGTCAAAGACTGTTGCTGGCGCTAAGGCTATATATATATCACTATGAAAATGAGGAGAAACCCCTGAATATGATATTTTTTATAGGCCTATATAATAAATTACTTGCGCCTCAGAGCGAGCAGACGAAACTAAATAAATGCGGTCATTGCTTTCGGTGGTGGATGCTGCTGTTTGGGAGCGCGGCCGTGTAACGACAAGGCAGTTATACAGAAATACGTTGATGACAGACTTTGCTCAGACATTTCAAAATCAAAATAACCATAACATTTCCGATGCTGAGGAACAAGATTGGTCCACCGTCCCATAGCGCAGTCACATTACTTTTTTGTTGCGCCTGGAGGAATTTACTCGGCAAATGCGTTTCCATCTCCTTTTATTCGCATTAACCGAATAAATTTGCGCACAAGTCAAAAACCACCTCAAGCAAGCGTAAAAACTTTTTTGCGAATTAAGGGATTTTTATTCTAAATTTGCCGTTTCCATCACTCGTTTCTTATGCGATACTTCAAAATGTGCATAAAAACAGGGTGATGCAAACATAGCTATTGACTTTTAGATTTGTGATCTACTCGCACAAATAATAAAGTTAGCTTTTGGTGTGCACACCCCACAATAGATTGTCTGTATTAGACACTTGTACTCGTGTGTTAGTAAATTAAGTGTGTGTGTGTGTTTACAGCCCAGTCTGGTGAATCAGATGATAACAGCTGCTGAAGAGAGACCCTGGCTCTGGATCGTCTACGTCTTGACTGTGGCTCTGCCTCTGGTGCTCATCATTGTCTTCTGCTGCACCGGAAAGGTAAGTGTGTGTCATTTAAAGAAGCTTGACCTTAATGTATGGCTGGATCTGTAGAATAAATGTCATCCTGTGCCTTACAGAAGAGCTCAGCGTCCACATCTGCTGCTGAGTACAAGAAGACAGACGCGCCACAGCCAGATGTGAAGGAGGAAGCCGAGGAAGAGGAAGAGGAAGAGGAAGCCAAGGAAGACTTTGAGGAAGCCAAGGAAGAGGAATCAGGTCTGAAAGATAAACAACTTTTGTTAAATCTTTCTTACAGTCAAATGCGACCAGTCACACAAGTTGCGTTCTTTGCTTGGAAGAGTTTTTAGTTCTAGTTCTGTTTACACTCTCCTCTCTTTCAGGGACTTGGGTTTGGACCTTATGATGGTTGAGCCGTTTTCTATAATTCTGTGTTGTTGTTCCCCCAGAAGCAAAGAAGAGTGAAGAAGAGGACTCCACAGGAGAAGCAGAGGAGGCCGCAGAGAACGACAACAAAGACGACAGTACATCCAATGAGGTAGTGCATCTTATGCTACTAGAAACACATAGGAAATGTTACATTTTGAGACTTTATAAGCAAATGTTGTCTTTTAGTAGGCACCTGGGTGTGGATTTGGAAGATCAGGTTTATTTTAGTAAATCAGTTTGTCGTCATCACATAAAAGTCTTCAGCAGCATTTTATGTGTTCATGTAAACTAGGGTGAGTTAGGTGTGTTTAAAGCCATTTAATTTTCCTAGATTGATGTTATCTGAATAGAGATCCTGATTTTGTTTGTTTTGGATAATGCGGTTTTTCCAAGGTTTTCTTTATTTTCTCTCTAATTTCTGATCGAACAATAATTGTTTCTCATAGGGAGAATAAGTTGTTGTAAACATTTATACAGTGGCTAGTCTTTTTTTTTTTTCTTCTTCTCCCATTGCCCATGTCAAAATGTTTGGACAAATTACCTACTGGGTTTTTTTTTTTTTTTAATTGCAAACAAGAGGTTGTGTGGTAAATTAATTGCTGTCCAAATCCACGTTTATGAGATTACAAGATCTGATCAATCTAAAAGTTGTTTGTAAGTCTTTTTTGACCAATGCCAAGAACTGTACAGTAACTGTTGCGTTGCATTTTAAACATGGACACTTTTATTACTGAGATGCTGGAATCTGTTTACAAGAATGATCTGAAGTGACTGTTCCACTACGGTGACTGGGAGCTGTTAAGATGAAAATGGAACAAAATCAATTAAACAGGCCATTTAAATTGGCCGTTATTATGGCAGCAAGTAAGCAATACAATCCTTTCCAATCATCCTACTACTTGTCCGCTTGATCCTATTCCATCTCATCTCCTTCAAGCCATTTCTCCTGCCGTTGTACCTGCACTCACTCACATCGTTAACACATCCCTTCACACTGGTGTTTTTCCCTCAACATTTAAACAGGCTCTCTCTGTCTACATGGCATCACTAGGTTCTGTCATTCAGAAACATGTCTTTTCATATCACTGCTATGCTGATGACACTCTACTCTACCTCTCATTCCATCCTGATGATTCAACGATAACTGCTCGCATCTCAGCATGTCTAACCTGGCTAAGACAGAACTGCTTGTGGTCTCAACAAACCCATCACTTTATCAAAATTTCACCATCCAGTTAGGCTCATCAACCATAACTCCTTCAAAAACAGCTAGAAACCTTGGAGTTGTGATTGATGATAAGCTGAATTTCTCAGACCACATTGCTAAAACTGCCCGGTCCTGCAGATTTGCTTTATACAACATTAGGAAGATCAGGTCCTTTCTTTCAGAACATGCAACACAACTCCTTGTTCAAGCTCTTGTTCTGTCCAGGCTGGACTATTGCAATGCTCTCTTGGCAGGTCTTCCAGCCACTTCTATCAAGCCTCTACAATTAATCCAAAATGCCGCTGCATTTTGTTTTTTGTTTGTTGCTCTTTTGTTAGTTTTGACTGCTTTTATTGTCCTCATTTGTAAGTCACTTTGGATAAAAGCGTCTGCTAAATGTAAACGTAAAAATGTTTTATAAAACGGAGAGTTCCGGTCCTTGATTCTGATTGGCTGAGCCACGTTCGAAGCTGTTGTAAATTACTCTACAAACACACACCTTTGTTTACTTCTGTGTGTTGCTCGGCAATCACTTTGTTGGAACCACAACGGTTTCTGAGGAACTACATTGTTTGGCGGAAGAATACTGTTTTTATTAATATCATTACACTATATTTTCTCTGTTTTATTTTGTGAAACCATATGGAATAACCGTTTTATAAAAGCAATAAGCCCTGTGAAGCCGTGGTTTACAGTGAATTTATAACAGCTAAGGGGGTTTTAGGCACTCGGCTTCATGTCGTGCCTAACAATGCCCCTTAGCTGTTATAAATTCACTGTAAACCACGGCTTCTTATTACTTTATTGCACACATGGTCACACTTATTGTCAACCAAGTATTCTGGTCAAATGTTTGCCTTATGTAAATAAGGTTGTGTTAGGGTGTGTTAACTTATTTCTGATGATTTCCACATTTAAAAAAATTTACATGCATTACTTGGACATTTCAAATGCAAGACCGAAAACCATTTAAACCATAGTGTATCAGATTTCCTGTTATTAAATAATACATTTAAATAAATGTTGAACATGTGACTGACCACGTGAGCAGTGCATGTCCAAGGTTTGTAGGATTATAAACTCGCTCCTCCACGGTGAATAAAACATCATCTGAATGCACAAGATTTTATCACAGTTTGAAATTTGCCTTGCAAATTTGATTTTTGTAGACTAACCCCATGATAAGAAATAAATACCATCCAAGTAGGGCTTTACAGGTGATTGATTGAGAAATGCATTGCAAATTGTTTCCAAATATATCAAATAAAATAAAAAACATTTGTTCACTATTTTTTGACAAAGTAATTTTCTCTTGTGTAGAAATCAGAGGACGACATTCTGAGAAGGTCTCCCAGAAACAGGAAACCGAGAAAGGACTAATGGACTTCCTGAATCTATATATCCCAACATCCCTCTCCTCCCGCTCGCGGTCCTGCTCCATCTTTCCTCCCCTCACTCCCACGTCCCCTCCTTCCCCGCTCTTCTTCTCCATCCCTGCCGCCGTGATGACGGTCAGAGCGAAACAGTGCGGTCTGCCACTCGACCAGCAGCCAAACGAACGCCTCCTCAAGCGGCCTTGAGGATGTCGATGGTTACCACAGTGATGACGACGCTCAAATAGCGTAGAAAGTTTCTCCGTAACTAAAAATGAAACACAATCTTTGTTACCATTCCTGAACTGTGCATCCGACGATCACGTAAAGATCCCGTTCCTACTTTCAGCTGTCACGCAAACACACACACACACACACACTTCCAGACAGTGTTCCTGAAGCCTAACACATGACCACAGTATGGCACACTTGGTATTGTAAGGTTTACAGGCCAACAGCTTTATTCCTTTGTTCTAGAATTACTCAAGAAGCCATAGGCGATTGATGGGATATATTCATTATAAACTAGAAAACCGGCCAACTGGATATACACTAGGTTTTAACGTATAAATGAGATGTTTTCATTATTTTCTATTCCATGAGGTTCATCATTTTGTCGTGGCGTCCATTAAAAGGCCAAACCGTGACCTTAACGCAGCCAGATGTGGTGCACGTGCTCAGTAAGGTGTCCAGGGAGAATGCCAGGTAGATTCATAGGTTCTAGTGTACTGCCTTACTTGTAGGACTCAAGATTTGCTAATATTTTTTTTTCTGTGTTATCATAGTATTTGTTTTGTTTAATCTTTGGGAAATGTGAATTACAAATGAAAAGTAACATTTCTGGAGGGGGAATGTGCTTAACTATCATTAAGTGTGAATGCAAATAATACTAATGGCCTAAAAATAAAGGTCATTCTCCTTTATGCGTAATGTGATATTTTATTTAGCTTGATTGAGGTGACATATTACCAGGAGTTTTTATGTGAAATTCACCCTGTTATGGGTTATCATAAGAGATCAACTATAAGAAAAACTTTTATTTATTATATATTTTTTTGCCATTGGTGACAGGGTTCAGGCCTATCTGAGTATTAAGTATAATAGTGAGTATAATAGTGTATTGAGGACACACACACACAATCACGCTGGTCAATGATTCCGTGTCTTGAGTGTCAGTCTCATTCTGAGAACTTCAACTGTATATGAAAAATAAATCAAAAATTGTCTTCTGATTTAGATAATGATTATAAAAATGTGATGTTGAATAAAAAGTGTTTTAATAACTTTGTTTTTTCATTGCGCCACTGTACCTGCTCATCAGTTTTTTCAAGTCCCAAAAGTCTTGACAGGTGTGCTTCCCCAGTCAGACATGTGTTGTGAAATAAGGCTCACGTGATGTCAGACACTTATTAAAAATAAAGGTATGATATTTGCATGCTTAATATACTGTAAAAGTGGACCTAGAAAGATATTTGGACGCTTAAGTCACTACAAAGGAGTTTGTTTGGCATGAAATAATAAAATGGTGATAAACCGTTCAAAATGAAGACAAAGGGTGATTAACTACACTGTAGTTTCTCTGCTTTGACACCTTGTGAACTTGAGGGGAACAGACGTCACGCACTAAACATCACTTGTTGTTTTAAAAGCCATGCAGAAATCAAAAGTGACAAATGTGGTGATCTAAAACTCGGCCGAGTCAGGTCCGTCACTATCTTTCTGGGTGTTATCTGTGGCAGCTGTTGAGCCTTGCTGCACACCGGAGAATTATATCCAAATGTATTGACTTCAGTAAAAATAGCTCTTTGAGATGCAAGCGTTCAGCCCAGAGTTATGAGATTGTATGGGAGTGATAGCAGAGTGAGTTGCTTAATTCAGTTTTACACAAACAGTGCAGCCCATAGACTTGTGGTGGAGATTGAAAGCAAGTAATCGAGCAGGGTGTCAGAAAAGTTCTGCAAAACTTCCTGTATTTTTTGTTTTTATCACCCAAAAAATGTAAACTGATGTATTATGAAATGCGAAGACCCCAGTCTAACCGAAAAGCATCAAAATGAAAAGTAGCTGCAGTCTGGAAAAACATTTAATACCTCACTATCTATCTATCTGTCTGTCTCTTTCTTTCACTCTATTTATCTCTCTATCTATCTGTCTGTCTATCTCTTTCTTTCACTCTATTTATCTATCTATCTATCTATCTGTCTGTCTGTCTATCTATCTGTCTCTTTCTTTCACTCTATCTATCTATCTGTCTATCTCTTTCTTTCACTCTATTTATCTCTCTATCTACCTGTCTGTCTATCTATCTATCTATCTGTCTGTCTGTCTGTCTCTTTCTTTCACTCTATCCATCTATCTATCTATCTGTCTATCTTTTTGTCTATCTCTCTATCTATCTATCTCTTTCACTCTATCTCTCTATCTATCTGTCTGTCTCTCTGTCTCTTTCTTTCACTCTATCTATCTATCTGTCTATCTCTTTCTTTCACTCTATCTCTCTATCTATCTATCATCTTTCTCTTTCACTCTATCTATCTATCTCTTTCACTCTATCTCTCTATCTGTCTGTCTGTCTGTCTGTCTGTCTCTTTCTTTCACTCTATCTATCTATCTGTCTATCTCTTTCTTTCACTCTATCATCTTTCTCTTTCTTTCTTTCACTCTATCTATCTATCTATCTCTTTCTTTCTTTCTTTCACTCTATCTATCTGTCTGTCTGTCTCTTTCTTTCACTCTATCCATCTATCTATCTATCTG